AAGCTGATGTCAGCAGCACGCTCCTAGCCAATCCTCATGTTAACCCTTATTTTATATAACTGTTTTATATAACATTTATATATAAATGTGTGAAAAAAGGATCTGAGGACTTTTTCCATTATTTTGTTACTTACATTCCTACTAGTGTCATTAGAAATTGAAATGTATATTACAAAAAAAAATGCTGTTTTTACAGCTTCAGCTTATTAGTGAATACGTACTTTATTATAATGTTCTTTATATTTCTATTTATATTTCTACGTTTTGATAACATTGGTTATCTCTAATTACTAAGTTCTAGCAGGTTAAGAAAACTTCTTCCTTCAAATTACTGTAGGAAATTGACTACATGGAAAAAATGTTCTCTACCCCCTTATAATAAGAATTCCACATTCATGTTTTGTGCAGCATTAACAGATGTGAAGTTAGTGAAAATCCTATATCCTTATTCCCCTCAACTTCTTTGAATCAGAGGGAATGAAAGAGAAAGATGTCCACAAGGGCAAGCCAGGATGTCCGAAATCTGTGCTAGAAATCTGTCACCAGCACCGCAGGTTTTGCTGCAAACAGCACAGCAGTTGGTGGTGTGGGAAGCCAAAGAAGCAACAAGGTCGTTCAAGGAGCTGCCATCACAGACCTGGAGGCTGCTAGAAAAAGACTGGAGTTGTAGCAACTGCATTTAAATAACAGAAAGCTCACGATATAAGCTGTTTCAATCCACTAGGACTGCTACTCCATCCTGTTCTGGTTTAGTCAGTAATAAAGAAGATCTGTGCATTCAATTCTTTGCAGATGGTGCAGAAGCCATTTTTCTAAGGTTAAAACATTGAGCTTTATTTTATGTTAAGTTACACAGGGCCAGCAGGCCACCACTATAGCAAAATTAAAAGTTATTTCTCACGGCATCCTTGTCTTGCTAATACAATAAGGACCCCTTTTGACAGTGAACCTATAAGAACGGAAAACATGCATTTTGGCTAGAGAGCAAATAAACAAACAGACTCTTCTAAGAGACACGGAAGAATCTGGGACATCGTGACAGAGTTCGCTGTTTGCAGTCCTGTACATTCAAGATAGATAAGAGTAAAGAATATGCATATAGGTTATTTTTGTTCCATGGCAGAAATCAGCTGGTACCACTAGGGCTGGGAACTCTCCTGATCACAAGAGACGCATGTAAGCAACTCAGCAGATGTGCTTTCCAAAAAAAATGTACACCCCCTACTTTGTAGGGAGACATTTGACCTTAAAATCATCTAGTACTGCACACACACACAGATCTCTCACCGTTTAACAGTGTTGAAGGGGAAATGAGAGAGAAACTAATTTCCTAGTCATTATTACTCTGGATTTCTGTGCACAAGCTCTGTCTCAAAAGCCAGAGGACAAAGTGTCTCAATTCAGATCTTTCCAGTAGAGAAAAGGATAGGGAATGTTTTCAGCAACAGAGAATCATTGAGTCCTAGTTGGCACATAGCACTACTATTCACACAGCACTAACTTCAGTAAGCTAAAGGCTATCTGTGCCTTATGTCCTCTGAACATTGTTTTACTTTTGGATGATACGGAAAAAGTTGCAGGGAAGATGGGAAAAACCAGTCCCACTGGCACTTTCAAACCCATGAGAATAAATTGTTGAATGCTACCTTTGTCTTTGGAAAGGAAGCACCCCAGGGATTTTTTACATTACCTGTTTAATTTATTATTGGCACTCTGCAGAGTCAGTGGACCTCCTTTGCAGATAGCAGCATACATTTGGGGCCAGAGTGGTAATAAATACGTAAAAAGTTTGGATTAACTGGTTAAGAATACTGGCATGAAACTTAAACATAGTTGGTCTTTCTGAGGATGTGTTCATTGCTCCTTTCTGGTATAGCATCTTAAACCTCCTGTAGTTTGTAAATTATTTTTTTTCTGGAATTTATTCAGATATGAGTTCCTTCTCTGCCTACGTAGCCATGGATTAACTGAGCGGAATAGCTGCCATGAGACCACAAAAAACACTTTGCCTGAACAGATGGTAACTCCTGACAAAATCCCAACCACAGACCAAAATAAATGATATTCTACACGTATCGGAAAGTTTCGGTAAAAAGAAACACCATGAAAATGGGAAGAGTGGAAGAGAAAAACCTCAAGATGAATTCATGTGTTTAAATTAACAGCTTTTAATACTGAGATTCATAACCATTGCTTTTTCAAGGCAATCAGTCTTGTGATAACCACTAGCAGTACTGATCTGGATTTCTTAATGAAATAGGTGTGCAGTAAGTCAGACAGCATCTAAAACATTGGTTTTTCTTTCTTTAGTCGTTGATAACATCAGTGAGGTGGCAGTGCCTCATAAACAAGTCTCACCACTCTGAATTGGAATTAGGAAAGTTAATCAAATTTTCTGGATAACTAAAACTTTCCATGCTAAAAGGCTGATCAAGAGAATTTCCAAAACTGATTAACAGGTAATATAAAGGAAGCAATTTTTATTTTAATACCGTATTCTGATAAATTTAAAAGAATATGGAATTATTAGCAATCATATGTACTTTCTTAATAAGGATTGTGATGTTACCTTCACATATATGGACAAATTGCAGCAGCACTAAGTCTTACAATGTGAAAGTAGATATTTATAGCACAAAAATGACTTATGTGTATTTGCTCATTTTCAGCAGCTGTGAACTCATGCTTCCAAGCAGATTTTGTCAAGCAATGTAAGATTTTTAGGCTGTTTAGACATGACTACTGAAGTAGAGTGTATTAGAACCAGGTCCTGAAACCAGTTTTCTTCACTCGTACAAGTTGAAGAATTCAATTTCACCCAACCATTTCACAAAATAATTATATTTCACAGGTCTTACAGTGTCACTCCATTCATTTCTTTGAATTCACATGCATACTTCGACTTGAAAAGTTCAAATACTTCTGTTCATATCTCAAGATAGATAACTGGAAAAGGTTTTCACTGAAAAATGGGTTGGGGATAAAGGGCCAGGAGAAAAGTGACAGAAAGAAGAGAGGAAAAAACTATTTAGATTAAAAATAAATAAATAAATAAATAAGTAAGAAATGCAAGTGTACTAGAAGACAAGCAGACCTCTTGGATCTCCCTTAAAACAAGCATATATCTCTGAAAAAAGGTTACTTATCCAAGACAGAAAAATAACCTGGAGTAGAGTAGGCCCTCTGGAAAGATCACAATTCAAGTAACAACTTGTGTCAGCTTAAAACCACTCTCAGATTTCACTGTGATTTTCATAATCAGTGAACTCTGCAGAAAGCATTTTGCAAAACTAATTTATCTATTTTTACTCACTTGCCTGTTTGCTGACATCTTTTTAGGAGATCCATTTCCAAAAGTCTTCGGTTGAAAATGAGATGTCACTGCTTTAGTATGAAGATGCATTAAAATGAGAGTGGAACAGAGATCAAAGGGAGATTTTATCTTTTCCCTGTTTTTTGTTTCATTGTTTCACAATGGCCACAGAACCTGAAAAAAAAATTAAAAAAATCCCCAAATTTAGAGCATATGGTTTAAAAAATAATCACAAAATAAGTATACGAATACAGTATATTCTTTTGTGCTTTGAACTTTGAGGTGAAACTAAGACATGTACTTTGAAATGCTTTCCGTCCTATAAGTGTTTGAAATCAGTAACCTTATTCAGTGAATTGTGAGTCTTCTCTTTGCAATACCAGATTCCAACACTGACAAATACTGAATTGCAAAGGAGAAACCACTGGCATTAAAGGATCAGGGACCTGTAATCTAGTTCAGATATATTTTTGGATACTGGCACACCATAATGAATAGTTGAGCAATTCTAGACTTAATGAGTAAAAGTGCAGCATTCAGCTGCTCGCCAATCCCAAATAAATGGATTATACAACTACATAAAGGAATGATCTGCAACTTTACTGAACCCAAAAGTATCACCTAAAAGAGATGTAGACAAAAGTGGTGTGTGATCTTTAGGTTTTTCCATTAATTCAGTGTTTAGAAAGTATCAGGTCAGTGCTCCTTCAAGTGGAATGTCTTCATTTGTCCTTAATATAATCATTTTAAAATAAGAGATCCAGCTTCAGTGAGCACCACTATCAGAAGCAAGGAAGTGCAAAAGCATCAGGAGGTCCCAATGATGAGTGGTTATTGATGATGATTATTAGGTGGTATGACAAGGCTGTTTGAGGGTCTCTGCTAGTCTTACAGAAAAGCAACATTCCGCCAGACTCTCAGAAAATGAGCAAAGATTATGAAATAAGCATTGCAGGTGTTACCTATAGTTACTGATTCCAGGAATACTCATCATGGAGAACAGGATCTCCTTTTGAAAATTATATTTGTCCAGCTTTTGCTTCACATTAGAAAGAGCAAAGATAACAATTTGTTTGATTTAGCACAATAACATGGGCATTTTTTCATTTCATCTTCAAAATGAGTTCCCTTTTTTCCAGTGAGTTACTGGCAGGGCAGAAATAAAAATACATATATGCAGCCACTGAGTAGCTATATGAAGCAGTACACCAGTTGGGGACTAAAGTGGAAGAAAATCAAAATGATGCTGTTAGAGCCAGGATAACTTAAAAGAGACCCAAGGTAAGAAGAATAGGCTTCAAAAGAGAAGAGATTTATTTTTTAAAATTGATGTATTTCATGTCTTAAGAGAACCCAGCCTGGAAAATTCCAGTCTTTTAAAGACCCAAGTAGTATAGCTTATTAGAGCAAAGTTTTGGTTGTTGTTTTTTGTTTTTTCATTCTTCTTAACATACCATTAATCATAACTGAAATTAATCTACTTCTGTTTTTTCTTCATTGACAACTTGTCAGGTTAGCTCAGAAACCAAGGTTAGTTTTCAAAGTAAACTTCTATAAACAAACAATATCTTCATGACAACTTATAAATTAAATATATATACGTATATATATATATATATATATACACACGCACACCCCCCATTATCTTTGAGCATTTTTGGTTTTGAGGTCTATGGGTCTGGGGAAAGAAACACCATGAGGTGATGTTAAAGTGTTGTAAAAACACTGTTAAAATAGTGAACAGTCTGATTTCACATTCATTTATGCATACACCACAGGTGGAATAATTGCAATAAACTTTAGATAATAAACCAATGTTGGATGCTCATTTAATAGGTGTTAGTTAGCTTCTGAAACATGGCATGTTGAACTCCAGTATCCATATCTAAAGAACTAACTGTGAAAACAGTTTGGGTACAGCATTTTTCACAGGCATAAATTGCACATTTCAAACCCTATGACTCAGCAGTAACATGCATTGACAACCAATAGAAAGAAAATCTCACCATATCTCTCACTTTCAAGAACTGCTTTCCTTCTTTCCACCTGAATTCTCAGTCTCTTCCCTCTGTCACCACTTATTTTATGCAAGTACATGAGGTTTGGGGTGATCTGGAGATTTATTCACAGATAACAGGAATGAAATGTTCAAGTTGTTCTCAAGACAATGCTGTAAATAGAAAGAACAATCCCAAATTGCAGTACATACATTTCAGGTATTTTTTTCTTACATTTTTCAGTTTGCTGTATCAAACAGGAACACCCTCAAATTTCACTGAAATGAAATAATAATATGTTTCATATAAATAACTTCATTGTCAATAAAATTATTTCTCATTTATTTTTCACACTATTTTACCAGACCAATTTAAATAGAATAAGCCAAATTTCTGTTCAACTTTAAGTCAATGTGCAGCCATTTCACCTAAGCAAAGCTCACCACATGCATGTTCTGGGGTTTGTGAATATTACTAATATTGAAATAAACAAGTGGGACAATGAACTCAAACCAAATAAAACCATATTTTATTCCACATTCAAAATGATGAAAGGTCCTTCAAACAGTGCTTTGCAAGGCAGGGTTTTTGGACCTGTGTATGTGGATGTTTTTCAGTCTAAGATATATGCTTGAAGTCATGTGTGCAATTTGGCTTCTGCTTTACTTACTTTCCAGGCTCTGTATACTTGGAAGGTACAGTGAATAAAGATTAGTACAAAACGAAAGCAACTTTTCAGAAGTGGAAGACATCATTAAAAATGAAGTTTACTCTTATTCTACTGTATAATAATATGCAGTAAATAACCTAATATATGCGAGCCATACATTTTCACTTAAGGCTAAATATAATTATACCTACTTCAAACAATTAAGTAACAAAGACACTAAGGCCAAAATAATATATAAATTATATGAATACAAATAATTGCTTTCCAATTCATTTTAGCTTAAGGGAAAATAAGCCATATATTTCTGCAAGCCTCGAGAACTTTCATGAACAACTGTAGACTTAAAATTATCAGGAGTGTCAGTGATAATAAAAGGCTACTTCATGATTTTACATTTATTCTTATTGGAGACAACTGAGAACAGATGTAAAAAAGGCAAAATGTGCCCCCATACTTTGAGCCAGATTCTCTGCAAAAGCCTCAGTGCACCGGAACTTCACCCAGTCTGTACAGAACCCACATCAAAACCAAGTTCCAAATGTCAGCAAGCTCAGCAATAATTTTTAAAGGAATCTGAATACAGAATCAGCTCCTTAACTGTTTTACGTTTGTCTTCTGAGGATGCTTGACTACACACATATTTAGTTACCTGGTTTTACAAACTTGCTTATTCTAGCGGAACATCAGGGAAAACAAGAGTTTAATTTAACACCTCTGTTTATCATAGACTTAGCCGTGCTACAAGACCTTTCCAATTTCAAATAGAGTGAAACAAATAAAACATAGGTGCCAGGTTCATTAGCATTTAATGAATAACAAATTAACTTGCCTCCGCTAGTAATCTGAACTTGTCTTACTCCAGAGTTTTTCAATTATATTATCTTCTTTCATGCAAATTAAAGGACTACACAAGCACAATTAAATGTGGCAGCCACAAACAATGGGAAAACTACTCAAAAAATAAGGAACTTTTTATTCAGAGCAGATAACTGGCAGATCTCTTCAACTTTATCCATTGTAATTCACCCAAGAAATAGATGTTAAGATTGGGTTTCTAAAATAAACTAAGACTTGTTTCAGCTATTTGTCTTCCTCGGTCCATTCCTTTTCTTTATGATTTTGGTTTCTTAAGATTAAACTGATGCATACTCTATCTCCTCTGTTGTACTCACGGATTTGCTCACTGAAATGTGTAAATGCAGACCCAAGAGCTGACTGTAACTCATTCTTTCCTTTACAATATTGTTTATCATTTTTCTGACTTTCAGAAAGGGAGACTGTATGGTAGGACAGTGAGGAGAGGAAGTGGGTGGCATAATGTACATTCATTTTTATATGAATGAATCACAAAGCTAATCTAAATCAATACTTGAAACAGTCCCTATTTAAACCAGTGTACATTTTTCCATTGGCTTGAGCTGAGATGCAACCTCTTGCATATCAAGCTAGTTAAACTAGTAAAGTTCATTAATAGCACATTAATAAATAGGTGCAATACTCTTTTTCCCTTCTGTGTACTACAGTAACTTCGTATGCAGTCTGGTTCTGAGTGACTTTTCCTTGGTTATAAACACAAACTCTGTTCAGCTCAGTAAAAACACCTCTCTGTTTGCTGACGTGAATAAATATCTCTGTTTTCCTCCTCTTTTGTAACTGACAAATGTTGAAGGACTTAATTAAAGTTTAATTAATCATAAAGGACTTAGTGTTTAATTAAACATTAAGCATTAAAGTCACAAACACGCTTCTGCAAACAAGAGATGGAGCAGATGAGTCATTACGAGACTTTGTAAAGAATTGTTTCATCAGTCCTCTGGACTCCGACCATCCCTTCCAGAGCTTCAAGCTTACAGAAGCACAGCCACTGCATTAAATTGTGGCACAGCTGTAGTTCAAAATAATAATCTCCACAAATTTTTGGTATGCTCATGCCTGCATTTCTGACTACAGAAGTTCTTTTCAAGAAATCAAGGGATTTTTCATCACAGGGCAGGGTAGGACCTACGAATTTCTACTGCTGTGCCCCATGACTTGCTGATGAAGGCATAGTTGATATGTATAACAGATAACTGGAAGAGGAGAGATCTTTAAAAATGTTAATGCTAACAGTTTGGAAGACTCAACCGTAAACTGCTGGCAAAACAACTGGAGGAAACCAACAAACTGTGCCACCTATTTCAGATGAGTTAATTTTGTCTTGCAGATGTTGCAGAACTTTCTTTCCCTGTAAAGTCATCCTCAGGCTTCCCAAAAATCATTTAGCTTACTTTTTATCATTACAATCTCTCAAGGAGACTGGTGATTATTTGCATGCTTTTTTGATACTGATCTCTACTAAAAGTAACATTAAACTTGTACTGGCAAGTAACTAGGAGCAAAAGTACAGGTATCTGGATTCTCACTATTCAGCAGCAAGGCACCTCTGACTCTCCAATGAGCAATGAATACAGGCCATAGAGTAAATTAGTGTGTTAGAGCACACTGCAGCCCCTTCTTCTGCCCTAGAAACCAAGCAAAAGTAAATGAACTCATTTTGTAACCTCTAGAGAATGTTCTAGGTAGGTAAAGTGGCAGAGCAAGGACAGCAGGTTGATTTCCAATAGAAGTAATCTTTAAATTAATAGGATATGAAAATCCTTTCCTTTCCATGTAACATTTGTCAACAGTATTTACTGGTATAAGCAGAGGTAACGAGGACATAAACAAGCTTTGACTTCTTCAGAGAAGCATTCTGGCAACAGTATTTAAGTCAGATACAGTCATGTAGCTTTTTGCTCTATTTCTGCATTGTACTTAAATACACATTTAGGACAATGCTGCACTTGTTATAATTTCTAAGTGGGTATGAAAAGTGATTTCACAGCACGAAGAAAAGTATAGAATCTGCAATCCAGTGCAGCAGCACACTGAGCTGTTGGTTTTTTTCCCCTGTAATATCTCATTTCCTTCTATGCTTTTAGGTTGAACAAGAACAGATGTGAAATGTTGTGATCACTGTTTTTTCTGCAAAGAGAGTAGTTTAATGGCTCTGTATCACAGGCAACAGCTTCCCACGCTTAATTCTGTGATCTTATCAGTGTTGCAAACCATCTAAGCAAAAGAAATACATTTTGTTGTTTAGAGCCTTCTCTAAAGTTTTATAGTTTACAGTGATTAGCAAAACCACCAAGTTTTTATCTCTATTTTTATCTGTAAATTGGAGTGTTAGTAGTACAGAAAACTTCATGAGCAGGCAAGAAGGCTTTGGAGTTTTTCTGTATTACTAAAGAAAGTTGCAAAAATTAGGAGATGTAGAACATAAAAAAATCAAAAGTACTTTTCAAATGTAGACAATAACAATAAAAACTGACACCAAACGAATAGACTAAAATAAAGCAAGATGTACGTGAGTGCACGAGGGAGTACCTTTCCATCTCTCTCTGTAAGAAGGTGTCTCAAAAGGGTTTGTGCACGTGGAATAAATAGAGGGATGCCTATTCTTGGCATCATTCAGATCAGTTGTGCAAATTGTGCAGTTATTGTGCTTTAGAGGTTATAAAATGAGTGATTCACTCGTGCCTTTTGTTCAGATGTTACGGACATGTTCTAGCTCACTTGCAAGACTGGATGAGATTTATGATTCATCTCTGTTCCTACAAACCTCCACAGATGGTATCCAGCACTTCAGACCTGCTAGTATCACTGTTATTTAAGGAACAACACTGACCGTTTCTATCCTATTTGATGTCAAAAAGTACTTGTGAAGAACTCAAATCTAGTCTTGAATGCTCCAAACTAACCTGTCCTGACTTTTTCCATTAAACTTTAGCTATACAGAAGTAGTTATTAACTCCATATTTTCTAATGGCCCACTTGTGTCCACTGATTGCAGTAACAAACATTTCAGTTGTCAGATCTCAGTGCAGAAAACAGCAAACCCTTAAGTACAGAAGCAATTGGCAGTCCCCCCTACGAGAGCTGAACTGAAGCAATCCCTCAGTAAAACAGTGACTACAAGAGCAGAATGCCTCTGGTTTCTTTGGCTTCCCACCAGCCATCTGTATCACGTACACTTAATGATTCTGCTCAAGCTGAACCCTCTTACCCTGTCATCTACACACAAGAACTACATCTACACATCTACATAACTCGGTTTTGTTTTTAAGTGCTTTTGCCATTCTCAATGATCAGAACAAAATTATGAAATGTAAAATGCTTCTAACAACACGTTTCAGTTTTCAGTTTAGTTGATAATGTTGATTTAGGTTTAATTTAGTACAATTACACTTGCATTTCAAATTATCTCTTTGTTACTGAAGTCATGCTATTTCTGCTCCAATTGCCTTTCCACATTCTCTACCACAGCAGTATGCTTTTAGCACAATTTTTTTCTCTTGTGTCAAATTAACTTGCAGCTCATAGCATAGTCTTACTTTTGGAAATGCTCACATTTCAATATTTTGATTAAATTTTGGGGTTGATGCAGATGAATTCTCCACATAGCAATTCTTTTGTCTTCAGTGG